ACAAGCCCCAATACCGATCCATAGGATCAAGTCGGGAAATCTCGACAATGTGGACTTGATAATAAGCACACTATTCTTTGTTATATCCTGTTGCTATTGATCCAAGGTTTGGAACCCCATTGTGGCAATTCTTTACATAGTGATAATGACATTGTCTGGGAACAGCATCCTACCGTTTCCTCATTTAACTCCTTGATTACATCACTCTCTTCATCATTGTAAACTGTCAGCCGGTCTGCAAAACTGCTTCACCCATTGATTATAACTGCATCACATAGTATTTGATCACTACCTCTTGGCCCCACAATGTGCTACTGTGCAATTGTTCTGGGTGCAGATTGCCCACTAAGACCCACTCTCTGTGTCTGTGAGTTCACTGTTAGTACGCTATTAAACAAACCACTTTAGCAAACATCCACAAAGGAGTTTGAGTGATTTCATCATTAAGTATGTTGATGTTTGCCCAAGTTTCATCATCATTATAATTACCGCAAATTAATCTCTATTTAACTTGCAAAACTACTGTTCACAATGATTAATGCAGTTTTGAAGTTCACTGTATGGACGACTCAATTAAGTTACAAGAGCCTGCTGATAGATTTTGCATGTTGTACAGAAACTAGACCAACGGTTCAGAGCGATGATTAACTTGATTAATTAATTAATTGAACAACAACAGTTGTGAGTTCGATCTAGACCTGCTCTATTTGAAAAATGTCCTGAGATAACTTCTGTTATGAATTGGCACTATACAAATAAAATTGAATTGAATTGAACAATATTCGTTTTAGTAATTTGTTGAGGAAAATGACCAAACATTTGCTGGTTCCAGCTTCTCGAATGTGAGGATTTGATGCTTTTAATCGTCCGTCTGTGACATTTCATTTTTCAGTACTTTGCATGCACATAGGACTTCCTGCTGTTCTTTACCGCTCCCGCAATCCACTGCACGCAGATGCTCCATCCCAATGGAAGAGCTCTTAACTAAAGTTACTGGGACTGGAGGCAGATTTATGTGCTTCTAATCAAGCAGCGCAGACACAGATGAGCAGAAGACCAACAAACACTGTACATAGTATATGTGATTAACTGTTCTCTGTGGGCGAGGTTTACCACAAAAGACAACACAATCGATCATTATTGCAGTATGCTGACCAATCAGTGGAGGGTTTAGGGACTTACTGACACTGACCAGCCAAATACCAAAATGTATTAACAGGGCCATTTCACAGACAGCTGGGCATTATTCTAGACTCACTTGTAAATGTTTCATGCAAAAATACAGGTAGGCCTTTTTAGATCTTTTTAGATCACAACATGACGCCTGCAAGCACATAAAGGCATTTTAACAATGCAACCAGGCAACTTACAAATTAAAACAGCTTTCAAACTGTGTCCGAATTCTGACATGTAGGCACTAACAAACTGAGGATTTGTGTGTGAGTGTGTGTTCCTGTTTTACATGAAGATGACAGAATGTGCTGCACTGCCTTGTGTGTGTTTGTGCTGCTAATATCAAATAGTTCACCAATTACAAACTCCCATGACCTCTGAAATGCTAATCATCACCGCAGCTAAATTTAAAATGTTAACCCATGTTACTTATGTGGGAGCATTTCAGTGCAAGAGAAAATAAGAGAGTTTTCTTCCGCAGCTCACAGTTAATCATCATGTAAATGAGAGTTTATTATAAGTCTGTTTTGAAATGCTCCAGGTGGTGTTTAAAAGCAAAGAAAACCACACGCATACACTAAATATCACTTTCTTTTTCGCGTAAGTGTCGAGTTAAATGGTGAACTCTGATCTGCACATTCATGGAGTGAGCCGGCAGAAACTCCGCTTTGGGCAAGTCGACTTCTAAAAGCAAATGTGCTTTTTTCAGAGGAATAAAGCACAAAGCAGAAGCACACACCATATTCAGGAGCATAACAATTTGATGTTTTAAGTTGCCCTGGTGAGATCTGATAACCCAAAACCCTGAACAGCAGAAGGACTTAAGAAAAGCAATAATCTAAGCCCCAAAAGTAACTCTTTTAAATACAGATCAAAAGTAGAACCATAGGCAAAAAGATGTCATCTCAAGTCTGCAAGATAGGCTGACCCCGTTTAGTAAATCCAATTATCATTATTTTTTTCATTTAGAATATTATCACACACAAGGTGTTCTCCTTCAATCTGGGACTATGTTCACTCTTCTTCTCTCTTCCATCCATCATGGATCATCACAAACATACTGGACTGACTCCCTGAGGCTGAATCTCACAGGCACACACACACACACACACACACACACACACACACACACACACACAAAACCACTTATTGCCACCTCCACATATAGCCCTCGTAAGTCAGAAGAAGTGGGAGAGAGAAAGAGAGAGAGAGTTGAGAACCCTCAAACACCATTCATAAACTGCTCTCTCTCTCCTTCTTTACATATGGCCATACAAATATCCATTCCAGCCTCTCCCCCTCTCTAACGCGCACACACACACACACACACACACACACACACACACACACACACACACACACACACACACACACACACACACACATATTTGACCCCCATCACCAAATGTTATACGTGCTGATAGTTTCCTCCCCCACAATCCACAGCAAACTGAGTTTTTAGCACCATCACACTAAACATCACAACTCAGGCTGTGGCTGTTACTATGGAGACACGTTGTTGCTCTGGTGACACCTTGGGGGTGAGGCATCTCATGGGGGACCCATAAAGTCACTCCATACCTGTATGTGTGCAGGTTTGTCTTTTTCACCCCTTTAAACTGTACTATAATGTAGTGTGGGAAATAATGTGAGGTTAGAGCCGTAGAGCATAAAAAGGCTGCTTTACCACTATTTCTGCTGATAAGACCCTGAGCACACTATCATACTGTGACATGTCATGTTGTTTAATGCTGGAAATGTTTAATGTACAGTACACGGCATATAGGATATCTATAAATAATTAATAAATAAGAAAAGTATCTGTGGTCTTTATTAAGCAAGCCCACGTAAGAAAGATCTAATGAAACACACAATGCTTCATCACATTGATATAATTAATAAATGTGTATGTACCGGTATTTATGTACAACCAGAGGCCTCATAACTCTAAGAAAACTAGACCTGATGCTGAATATGAAGCCACAAGCCATCTAGAGTTAAAGGGTTCCCTTCTTTCATGTGGTTGAGATTAAAATCATACAGCTCATGTTTTAGGTGAACGTTAAGTTTACAATCAGTCACACTTCAGTCACAAGGGTCAGAACTTTTTTCTTACTTAAAGCAGTGACACTACTATCCATCAAGGTTTTTTTTTTTTTTTCAGTTCCCAACACAAGCTAACCAAAGCATTAATTTGGTCTGTTTTGTACACACATTTTCACTAAAAACAAATGTTCCTTTTTAGTGTTCATTAGTCTTGACTTGGGAAGCAATTTAAGTGAGTAAGTATAGATCAGTGACCCTATGTTTTTAAGACTTTCCTGGAAAGTATTACTTATCCTCCTGCCTCTTTTTTTCCTTTCATCGCACTTGAAAAGTTCCTTGGCGTTACAGACACAGATACAGTCCTATAAATAAGAAATAATGCCAACTGTATGACTTTCTGCTGGGAAGCGGGGACTGTAAACAATGACCTTCCTTTAATGTTTTATGCTTTACCTAACAGAATAGTGCTAGTTGTTAGCATGGGTTACAGGATTGCAAAGGCAAACACAGCCTTTTTTGTTTTCTCTGTGCAAAACCAGATAACTTAAGAGATTAACTCAGGAACCAGGAAACACAACCTACGGTAAGCGATCACTAATCACCATTATAAACAAAGACAAGCGTCTTTATAAGACTGTATTTGACTGGAAATATCACTTGACACTATTTATGGAGAAACACTAAACGTCTAAAACTGTCAGTTGACAACATCTGAGGGAACGTCATCATAGTACTCCTGCACCCATAAATACACTTTTATATGAGGAGCAGATAAATGAGAAATCAAGGTGGACGTCAGGCTATATTACATTTTGGCAAAGAAATTGACCTTCAGCGTCATTTATATAACCGGAAAAATAGATATACAGCTGAAAAAAAAAAGACAGACGGTGGAAAGGATTTGCAGGGATTTTGCTTGATGCTCCCTAATGACAAAACAATCTTATAATTCTCCATTAGGCCGTGTGTCTTCCTCTCCTACTGTATGAGGTATGTCTGCATTCCTCATCCCAAATTAAATCATATTAAAACCCAAAATTCAGGTTAAGGGACTCCAGCACAAAAACTGAACTCCTGAGCTCAGAGTGACCAAATCATACTTTATAGTATTTATAAGGAATCAATCAATCTGTAAAGGTATCATGTTATTACTCTAAAATACTACTTATGGGAGACTTGGAGACTGTTGTTGCCATTTGTTCACTATCCTTCTAGAAAAAAGTGGTGCCTACTGTTGCTTTCCCTTTATGTTACTGCTCCTCCTCCTTGGGGAAGGGAGGGTGGGCAATTATTATGAAATTATGAAATTATTTGTTATGAAATCCGCCTGTGTGTTCCCACTATGTTTATTAGAAAACATGAGCTGCTGACACATGCACATACAGGAGAAGGTTAGAAAGAGTGATCAGGTCCAATTCTGGGCCTATCAGCCTATACTGAGTACCACATACAAAGGGATATCAAAACATATAATATTTGTATATTTGGTACACAAGCATAGTAAAATAAGAAGAAAATACCATAAAGCAAGATATGCTGTATTTTGCATCCTGCATTCCCATAGGAATATATGTTATTTCCCAGCATATGGGCCCTTTTTACATAAACAAATACAAAGAGGGTCACTCAAACCAACATTTGACATTTATGCACGTGTAAAGTGCGCCTATAATAAGGTTTATAATGAGGTTATTTATAAGTGACCTGTGTAGCCACTCTCTAGCTAAGAACCAACAAACTTATTTTACATTTCCCTGCCTCGTACCGGAGCGCTCACTCACCCAAGACACTATGCGGAGAATGGTCTGAGGCTGCTGGAAGAAGGTGACGGGGTCGAAGGCTCCTCCGGCTTTCCCGGCTCCGTATGCCTGCATCCCCTCCATGGTCCTCCTCCTCCTCCTCTCTGCACAGCCTCCTCTCTGGTCCTCCCCTCCTCCCCGCTGCTGCTTCAAAGGCACAGGGTGTGTGGAGCACCGGGACACCGACACGGAAAAAAATCCCCGAATCTGCTCCTGCTACTACAAACGGTATCACGAGCTCCTGCTGCTGCGAGGATGGATGCTCGAGTCTCTCCCCCGCGCACAGCCTCCCGTGTCCTCCTTTGTTGTTGTTGTTTTTAATTTAACCTCTGAATTCCCTGTTGTCCTCTCTCGATATCCGGGCAGAGGAAGCTGTATGCCAGTGTTTTGATGATGCTCTCTCTCTCTCTCTCTCTCTCTCTCTCTCTCTCTCTCTCTCTCTCTCTCTGCAGCGCAGGAGCCGGTGGCGAACACGTGAACGCGCCTCCGTTGTGTGTCACGCCTCGGACGCTGCTCACACAGCGCCGGAGAAAACACACAGCGAGCACGCGCACGTGGTTATGAAGGGGCGCCAGCTCGTGCGTTTAAGATTGCCTCAAGGAGTCACGCGCTTTCCTATTTGTTTGAAGGTTGTTGTTTTTTTTTACCCACCCCCGACACACAGCAGACAAGAGGAGAAATCAAGTTAATTCAACCACAATGATATTCAATAAAGCTAAGTTATATAACTAAAGTTTTATCATTAAAGATTAAGTTGTCTTATTCATTGACTCAGGATATTCTGTATGAAAACCGCAATACAATAACACAATAGAATAATATATTAGAATAATAGAATAATATATTATAATATATATATATATATAAGAATGATATATAACGATACAGTAACGAAAAACTGTAAGTCCCTGTCAAGGTAAAGTGATTTGTTATGCTGAGGTAAGAAAGTCTGCCCTCTGGTGGCCTTACTGGGCTTTGCCTGAGTTCTTCTCACCATAAATTAGACTGTCAGGCACTTCTTTCTCCCGTGTACCGTATAACCGTGCCCGACCGACAAGCTTCACTAGTTTAACAAACTGGGGCTACGCTTGGAGTTTTGGTACCCCAATATTACCATAACTAGCGCTTACTGTACACAGTTTGAGGAAGCTTGCCTGACAGACTATCTCAGGGGGAAAATAACCCATCTACCATGACTCTTTTTACGTCCTCACATCCAGCCAATGAGAGCACAGCCACGGGCTGTACGTGCTCGCAGGATGGACCAATAAAACACCTCTGTGTCTGGTTGCTAAGAGACGCGTTGTGTCCATGTTGCCGAGGTGCAAGTAGGAAGACAGCTAAAAAAAAAAAAACCAAAACAACAGAAAGTAGAGCTTCATTTAGCGTCATTAATGAAACAAGAGGTTTTATTTACAGTGTCTGGACGTTATCCACTCTAATGGTGAAGTTGAGGGCGAGATGTCTGCTTGTCGGTAAGGTTTAGTCCCTCCTGCTACAAGTGCTAAAGCTAACCAGTCTGCTGCTAAACCCGCTGTATTCAGTTATTATTTACATTGTTAGTAAGTAAATAAACGATCTTCTGTCTAAATACTTTTGACGTATCGTGAAGATGAATCATATTCAGTGCGTAAAGCCCCACAACGTGCTGCTGGCTCTCCTTTCTTTTAGTAACGTTACCACTAGTTAACGTTAGATAACCAGCAATAACTCATTTGTTTGAGAAACTAAAAATGACCGTGCTGGTGAATCTGGCTGTATTTGTACTGCCGGAGGTTGAATGATGAATGTAATTGACAAAGCACTCAGTAAACACACATTTAACACGTTAGTTATACACTCAGAAAAGCTGCGAAAGGATTAAAGATGATGATTTTCTGCCTCTGTCTTTCTGTCTTTCTGTCTGCATGTGTGTGTAGGAGATGCTGCAGTGGGGAAAACTGCCCTTTCCCATATGTTCCACAGTGATGGTACTCTCTTCCAGAAGAACTACAGCATGGTGAGAGCATGAACACAAAGGGGATGAAAGGTTGCTGGTTTGATCCCTGGTGTAATACTGCTACATGTCCCATAGCAAGCGCATGCATTTCCACATATACTGCAATGTATGTAGTATATCTGTAACTCTCCTCGTAATAGGGGTACGCTGTTATATTCATATCACGCAGTCATTTATCCAGTATTCAGTTGTCTATTCCTGTCTTATCCTACTAACTAATTGGTGGGTTAATCAGCTACATTTTAGCTTTAGTTTACACACGTTTACCTGGTCTTTGTTCAGAGTAAAGTTCTGTAAACTCTGTCAAACCTGCGGAGATCTAAGCAGACTACACTATAGATATAGATAGACAGTTGAGCAGTAATAAAACACTTGTAAAGCAGGGTTGTATAAGTAATGATACAGGTTATAGTGACATATTTAAAATGTATTCAATGGTGTAATAATTACTGAAATATCCAATTTAATATTAGTTAATTTTACCAAGAAGTGATTATGTACCAGTTGCAAATCATCAACACTAATTATGGCCACTGATAATCACAATGATATTACATCTGTACAGGAATGTTAAAATATATTGCGAGACATTTAAAACGTGATACAAACATGTGAAGGTTCAAATTGGCAAGGTGGAAAATGAATCACGATATCAATGGAAAGACATCAGTTTCATTTCACAAAAGGAAATATGCATTGTTTTGCATAGTTTATACTAAACCTCAGGAATAAAAAAGGATTCTATAAGTTGATAAAGAAAATATATTTTGTAGATTTTTGTCTGAGAAGATATGTTTCAGTTCTAATGTATTGTATTGAATCGTGAGTGTATCATCACATCCCTACATATGTATAGTTTCTTTAGTGGAATTCCTTCCAGGCTTTTCAAGGACCTGCAGAGGTCTCTTAAATCTACTACAGGAATCACTGAAGTGCAAAACAGCATAATGTACCAATTAATGCTGATGCAGAGATGGCTAATCTGCATTATTTATGCTAATCTGCGTGAGGGAGGGAACTCTGTCATTAACCTGACTCTGTGATATATGGGGTCATGGCTGCTCACTGATTCCCTCTGTCAAACTTTCAAGGGCTGCTGACTAAATGACACCTGCAAGTGAATGCAGGTGCAGTGCATTCGCATGTGAACATAAATATATGCACTTGCCCAACTTACACACATTCATTTACGAGTTTACTATTAAGTCTTGTAGCTGGTTACGGTACAGAACAGGTTGGTGGGTAAATTACTGGATGAGAGCCAAGTGTGTGTGTGTGCGTGTGTGTGTGTTTGTTCAGCTCTTGCTGTGTCAGCAGTATCGGGGGTTCTGAGGTGACAGGAACGTCGATAATTAATACAGCAGGATTCTGGAAAGCCACCAGAACAGGTACTTAACAAGCACACACACACACACTGTACAGCAACAGTGTTGAGATTCTCCATACTGCATAGGCCAGAACCCACTTGTTTGTGATGCTGTACGTGTCTGTTCATGTTGGACTAGTAGAGAATTAACAAAGAAAAGGCGCTGCAATAGTGCTGCCTAGTGCACTGTATGTGCTTGCCGAACTCTGTACTACTGCATAATATAAAAATATGCACCAAAAAATGAAATAAACACACAACATACAAATTAAATCAATAAATCCGTGCAACATAGAATGAAAAGGGATGTGGCATTCAGTTTAAGAGGGGAAGCATGCATGTTAGCATGTGTAACTGTAGATGAGATGCACTGAAACAAATGCTCATGGGAAAGTGTCGGTCACGGTCTCTGCTGTTGCTATGCAACTGTTAAAACACCTATTTGAAGCCAGCCGTTTTCTTGGTATTAGTTGAAATATTTTTAACTTCTTGCTCACTTGGCGCCAAGTGCTTTGTATAAGATGAACTCTGAACTCTTAAAAGCTGTAAAGCTATACATTTTTGATCCAGGAGAGTTAATATGAATATTAACATCCGTTTCCATAGTGGTAGTGAGAGTAGCAATAGAAAAAGCAAGAAAGCGAGCATCTTCTAAATTATTAGTTATCTTCTGAATTGCAACCTTAGAAACATTCAACTACTATATATATATATATGTGTGTGTGTGTGTGTGTGTGTGTGTGTGTGTGTGTGTATATATATATATATATATATATATATATATATGTGTGTGTGTGTGTGTGTATATATATATATATATATATATATGTGTGTGTGTGTGTGTATATATATATATATATATATATATATATATATGTGTGTGTGTGTGTGTATATATTGGTTCCCAGAGGATGAATCTGGTTTATTTTTTCATTAATCTAATCAGACAGACTGACGTTAAATTTACTGACCTCCTTAATGCTCCGAAGAGGATGAATCCCTTCCGTCTGGACACTCCATGTGCTTTCATTGAGTGCCATTCTGAAGCAAAAATGTTAAAATATCCCGTAGTCTATTAATCGTCAGATTGCCATTAGATTTGATGAGCACATTTGCACTCCCAAGGAGATAAACTCTATGACTTTTACTTTAATGTACTGTTACCTTTCGGACAATGACCCCTGCGATTTAAAAAAAAGGGGTCTTTATGTTGTTTATACCATTTTGTGCACACTTACAACACTATAAAAGCATCAGCTGACCGAAACTGATATTGTTATATTGCAAGTGCACCTCTGCATTACCAAGCAGCGATAAATCTGTCTATCTCAGGTTGGATTTCCTCTTTAAGACTTTGCAGCAGGTTGAAATAGGGACAGCGTGTCCTTTCCATTGTGACTAATGTGAAAAAGAAACCAGCACTGTGAAGAGTTATTCCTTGTGCAGACACCTAAGTCATCCCTCGTGTTCTTCAACATTTGATTTTGAAGGGTAGCAGAGGCTGTCGGCCATTCTGCTCACGTCCTCCTTTGAAAATGTCAGACGGGCCGTTAGCAATATTCCAAGCTTATTTGTTACTAATAGGCCCTCATTGACATTCCAGCGAGAGGCTTCCTATGCATCACACCAGCTCATTAGACCGCTCCGAAGTGGTGCTGCCGCATCATCTGTGTGTGTATGTGTACCATTGGATCCCTGTTATGAACTGATTCTGTGTATGAATCAGGTAAATGTTGGTCGGAAGTGTGTGTGTTTCGCAGAGGCAGTGACTGTGAAAGGTATGTGTGTGTGTGTTTCAGCATTTTGGTCTTGGCATTTGACACGCTCAGTCAAGTGTGAGCTCAGGAGATCAGATCAATTTAGAGTTTGGTGCTGATGTGAAGAAACCTCGACTTGCTTCTTCAAGGTCACCACTGATCTCATACCAGCGGATACATAGTGGTGAAAGGCAGCTTGCAACCATCCAGTCCACTTAGGACTTCATTAGATCTCAAAGCTTGTGAAGAACGTGCATCTGTGATAAGACCATATTTATCATATCCTCCTTACCCTCTACTGCCTGCAGTCTATCTC